TTTTTTTTTTTTTTTTGCAAATAAGTTTCCCTCTCGTATTAAATTATCACTGGTTTACTTGATATAACCGTTTGATGTGATTTGTTCCTGTTGGTTTAAAGCAACACCGCATATTTTTTTATGTGCATTAGTAGGTAGACTATTCTTATCCAGTTATCTACTGATCTTTATGGCGTCAAAAATAAGATGATCTCGCAACTCCAGTCTAAACTAAGAAGTTGTTGAACCTGACCTTTAAGATTGAATAATAGGATTACTTCGTACAACAACAAAGCCTGTAGTGAACAGCTTGCGTGTTCTAAAATCAACTGGTCCAATGTTAGATAAAAGGTAAGAGGTTTTTGTTGTATGCTAAAAATGTTACTGCGAGTCATAATAATTGGTCAACTTCTTTTTCGCGGTACAAAAGAGGGTGTTTTTTCTTCAGTTCATCATATCCTTTTTTTTTTCTGTAATAGACAGAGAGGTATCTGAATCAGACACTACTAGGCAACTAGTTAGTTACTGACGTACTGTTTAGCTTTGTTGGAAAAACCGTGTTTAATCTCTGGAGTAACAAGAGGTATTAGTAAAGAAATTGCACTTAAACTTGCAGAACATGGACAAATATCGTTGTTGCTGCAAAAACTGCTGTACAGCACCCAGAGTTACAGAGTACTATTCGTACAATAGTTGAAGAGATGGAAAAAGTATGACCGAATTTGTTAAGGTTTTGCTTCTGGAGAAAACATGTTATTTTTTCATATCTCTTTTTTGGCAGGTGGTAAGGGATTGGCTTGTTCAACGGATGTTCGACATGAATCAGAAATTGAAAATGCCCTTGAAACGGCAGTAAAAAAATTTGATGGATTCGATATCTTAATTAACAACGCTAGTGCTATCTCATTAACTGGTACAGTAAAAACACCAATGAAGAAGTTTGATCTGATGCATAATGTTAATGTTCGTAGCACATTTTTACTGTAAGTTTACTTTTTACGTAACAGGACCAAAAATAATGTGTAATGATTGCTAATTTAAAGTTTTTTGAGTCTCGCAATATGCTATCAAACAATGAGTAAAAGCCCCAACGAATTACAATCCGTACATCAGGTTATTTACAGATCCCAAAAATGTATTCCACACTTAAAACATGGCAAAAATCCTTATATTTTAAACCTGAGCCCTCCATTACTAATGGAATCTTAGTGGCTTTTAAGACACGTTGGTAACCACTTCTATTTATTCACTCTTTTATTATATTCTTTTGGCCTTCTCGTAAATTAAAAGGAAAATAATTAGGTAGGTTAAACTCTAACAATTTCTTTTTATAACTTGGCAGCAATTTTCCACGGATATCATACTATTTCGCTTTTCATAATTTTTGAATACTGATAAAAAACTATATTGATGACTCTTTAATGAAGCCACTAGTACTACTGACTATTACTTTATCCTTGGCAGTTTTAAAAGTTTTTTTTAGGCAATAATACTAAGTGCTTCCAAGTCACGACAGAAATGTCTTCTCTTTGCAGCATATACACTGGCTAAGTATGGGATGTCATTGTGTGTATTAGGTATGTCTGAAAAGCTGAAGAGGTATGGAATTGCAGTAAATGCACTTTGGACTGAAACCGGTATATGGACTGCTGCAATAGAAGTTCTAGGAGCTCTGAAAATGGTTTTTTCTTTTGCTATTAGGAGGTTTTGAACATCCTTAACTTGCGCCCTTTAAGTTTCACTTGTGAATATTCCTGTGAAGAACTGTTCAGTTTAGGTTTGTCGGAAACCCAAAATAGTTGCTGATGCCGCTTAAACTGTCCTCGTGACAGCCACATATTTACGGTGAAATTTGTGGTTGATGAAGAAGTTTTAATGGAAGAAGGGATGAAGAGCTTTGATAATTATACATATGAAGCTGGTAATGCTCTGTTAATTAGAGCTTTTAATTTATAGTATTTCCTTTTTCTAACACCTCCATTGCAGGTTCTAGCCTAATACTCGACTTTTTTGTCCCTGGGATGAAAGCAGAAGATGTTTACCCATCGGGAGGGGAAGTTGACTTGAAAAAATGAAAAATTTAGGGAAACAAACTGCCTCAGATACAACAGGTAAGGGAGAAAGCACAACAAAGCCGGATAAAAACGTAACCAAGAATTCACAACTAAGGATCCTGAAGTACGTAAAATACTTTTGGTCTTGAGGAAAGCTGTAGACTCAGGAATTGTTAACGAACTCCAAGGCGTGTTTCATTTCAGTTTACGGACATTAAGATACCAGTATCTTTATTCTGCTTTTGCAACATACTATCCTAAAAACCGATCTACTTGTTATCAGGATTTCCAAAGCCCTCAGATTAAAAATCCTTTCCAAACTATCGCGTGAATTTAGAGACCGATCCGCCCTATTTCTTCACTGACGCAAGATCTAGCAAAGGGTCAGTCGAAGAAGGGGTCAGCATGACACGGAAGTCACTTTTGAAGTCGATAAAGCCACATTTATTAACATCTTCCGAGGAAAAGTTTCTGCAATGAAGGCATTTTTTGAACTGATTTAATAGTCAAGGGCGACATGGGCAAGGCGAAATTTTTGAGTAAAGTCATGAAATATTTGACGAGGTAATTTAGGGCCGTTACAACTACCTCAATAAATGTACAAAATTTTTTTTATATCAGCAACCAATTAGAAATACTCTTCGAGTAATGTGAGGTTGTTCCAACTCTTCTCCTACTTATTGCAGTGCCACTACTCCACTGCAGACTTATCGAGCTCAAAGTGCACACATCCTTTTTATATACGCCTTAGTTTCATATCTCCATGGAATCCTGTTTGGCGCGAAACTTCTAATCAAACTTGTTAACCAGCTTTTTTTGGAGAATCATCACTCATCGACTCTTCAGCAACCCTTTTATTTCAAAGTGTAGTTAAGAACTTTTCCAATGAAAAGATTATATACAAGGTGAACAGGAATCAGGAAAGAAAGGAGCTATGACATAGCAGAATGGGAGTCAGAAAATAAGTCTTCGCTATCTGGGATCTAACTCGACATCGGTTCCTCCTGAAATCCTTTGTGAGGATTCATTCTTCAGTTTTATAAATTTCCAACCAGATCTTAGGGTTGTTCAGTTAGATGACCTGAATCCCACTGCTTCCTGTAAATCCATTGTTTCCGAAAGCATTCACTCAGGAGAAATTACTTCATCTGTAGTACCAAATTTACGAGATTCATTGGCTTCATCTTTAGCAGTATCCTCATGCGACTCCTTGACCTCTCCTTTAACGCCTTTATTTCTTTCAGTGACCTCTTTTTTCACGGCATTCTCGTGTGACTTGCTGCTAAGAACATCACTTCAAGTTCAATTTTCGTTGTTGGTACGTTTTCTTGTTGCTGACCACTTTGGTCAACCATCTGAAGCCTCGTCTAAAAACTCGAAAAGCTCGTTGGTTTTTATGCAAAAATCTGAAAAAAAGGGAAGTGGCCAGAAAAAGAACATTTTATGTGTTGTTTAAGTCAAATATTATCTAATATAAAAAAGACGGCTGGAAAAATTGGTAAAGATGACCGTACTGCTTTTAATGCAGCAGAGCTTATTGAAAGGGGCAGAATCATACCAATATCGTTGCAATATTTTCAGTTATCTTCCTATTAGACAGTGCAGCTCGGCTGTACCCAGCACTTGCCAGGATCTTGATAGAATTTTCTACAAGTTCCCAAAACAATGATACGGTGATCAAAGTAAAGGATGCGTATGACGATGTATATAAATTTTCAAAAGCCTATCTTGGAATCCTTTTAAGTATAAAACTGCGTTTCATATCTGTTGTGCCAATTTCTCCATAATACTATCATAATTATAAATAAACTTATGTAGAGGACTGACTGTGGCTAAATCAATAGGCTGAACAGCTTGGGAAGGAAACGGGCCAGTGTCTGGGTCAAGTTTGCATGTACTTTTAACCTTTGGTAGAGGTAAGCTGGCCTTGATAGTCTCGACTGTACCATCCATTACGGTCCTAAAATCATAAAACAGTGAGAATGACTAAAAGAGTAGAGTAACTCGCCCCAGAGGAGGATGGCTAGTAAAAAGCAATTTTATGGGTGGCATCAACTCAACATAAGGAAGAGGAAACTAAAAGTTATATGTGGAACCGTTTAAAAAAGACAGCTCTAAGTATTCATCAACTTCCTCTGTCATTGGTGCTCAATTTAAGCTGTATAACAACAGTACTCTTTCCACCTTTTCCTCTTAAACTTCTCTTCTCTGTCACTTTATAACTGCTTTTTTTTTTGTTTGGTCTTTGCCCCCACACATTCAACAATACGATATGTTTTACAGCATTGAGCAAAAACTTCAAACACAACAGAAAAATTCAAAGGCCACCGATAAATTCATCAAAATTTTGCATTAAATTCAACGTTCTACGAATACTTTAATAAGCAAAATTCTCAACGAATACTCAGCACAGATATATCGTATGCACATGCATCAAAAAAATAAAAAAGCCTAACAAGTGGTTTAAAAATGATACATTAACCGTCACTGTCTTTGAACAATAATATCTGAATTCAATAAATTCTTGGGACCAATGACACCTATTCACTCCGGCATGGGCGAGTTCAGCAAAAAAATAAAAAGAAACCAAAATTGGACTAACACCTGATCTAAAAATGACAAACAATCATTTAGATCATCAGATCAAAACAGATCTGCTTCAATAGGTATAAATTAATGCTATGATAAGCGAACAAATAAAAATAATTCAGCTTCAGGTTTTACAACAGGTACTTGTCCCATCATACTTCATATTCTTCTCCCTGTCCTAATAACTGCTGGTCAGTCGTAGGAATGCTTTTTATTTCAACATAATTCAATTAGTTGAAACATACTTCCCAGTTTGCGTGTTACTTTTACTGCTTATTCATTTCTTCCCTCCACTTGTCCCCACACTCTTTACTGTCTTTTGCCCACTCTTTTGCTTCCAAGTTTACACTAATCACTGCTGATTCTCATTGAAATGCATTTAAATTTTCTCTATAAATTTCTTCAACAACCGTTCATTTCCGCCACTTTTTTTGTCGACATTTCGTTCACATTCCTCGTATTATTACTCCACTTCTAACAATTCCGACGATAAACAAGTCTCCAGCAGAGGGAACTCCCTCTAATAATAGAAATAAAGTAAAAAATATGGTCCAGTAATAAAACTGTCAATAACTGGTTATCGAAGAAGGTTCAAAGTAGAATTTTTACGCATTCTCTTGAGAAAACAATGCTAAAGCGCCAGACTATAGCGCGTCGCCAAATGCCATACGATTTCATTGACTTTGACTCAGCTGCAGCGAACTGATGGGAAATTTCCAAAGCATCAAGGTAGAAAAGCAAATTCAGGAGCCGACAGCAAACAACATTAAAAAATAACTTTTTCGAACGGCAGAATGTCCAAGTCCTTCAAGAACTATTTGGCGAATACGAGGAATAGAAACCCCATTCTTTACAAATACATCCCACGTTAGTAAAATGCAGTCATCTGGTCTTCTGTTTAGTGAACAAGTAATAAAATGATACACACTTAAAAAGCACAAGACGTAGAGGAAGAATATTTCAAAGAAGACAAATACTCTTTTTGTTAAACCATCGCAGCTTCCCTTTCTGACAATTCTTTGCCAAATCTCCTTACCAGATCAATTCAATATCCCTTCTCCACTCGGCATTTTCAGTTCTGCTAGCTTAGAAACCCAAGTGCTTTGTTCAGTAATACATTGAGACTAAAACTCTGATTTGAAAAAAAAAAAAAGCAAGAACTGGCAAAACACAACATGAAAACCTCAACAAAACAAATATGTATGTCTGTCTTCCAAAACCATCTAGATTGCTGTAATGTCGTCACTTTGTCCAACCTAAAACCCACCTAAAATCTTTCATCAAAGCAGAGTATTCTGATTTTTCGTCTATTCATCCTGACATTCATTACGCTGAAACTATGAAGTCACCAAAAGCCTTCCATCCTCCGACTTACACCTCTTTAGAACTCTTACAGCTTCCTGTCATCACACCCTTCTATACCAAATCTTTTATTACTCTTAATGAGATATACCGTGTCAAGTTTTTATAAGACTGCTAAAAAGACTTGAGAGAAGTCTTTTAAAAAGTATTAGAACACATTCATAGATTAAATATGCAAAAATTAAAAGAAGAACGAGCAAGCAAGTCCAAGCCACTCAGATTCAACACTCAGTTCTGAGATATCGGTTGAACTAAATAGTTTAAGAATGTCATCCGCATAGAAAGCTATAAAGAAGTCAGTACCAGATCTACAAATGAATATTCTTGAGATCACTGTACTTTTTTCAACACAAACATAGAACCACCTTTTCTCATCGCGACATGCCACTTTAGGCGACCATATCAAACGTTCTACTTACAAAGCCAATTTAAACAAAGATGAAACAATAAGATTTCATTTCTCAAACTTTTTCAAAAATCCCTCTCTCTTCATCCGTACTTCTGCTGCATTAGACGGTGCTTCACTTTCTGTTGCTGCTTCGTCCATTTTTTCTTCAACGCTATCTTTGTGCCTGCAGTCTTCTGACATATGATCCTTTACAGTAGCAGATTTTGAAGTAGAAGCACACATTCCTAAACTCATCTGGAGCGCACATTGTAGCTGCCTCTCCATCTCTTCCTCCTCCCTCTCCATAGCCTCTTGAGCACTCTGTTTCAACGCTTGCTGAAAAGCATATTTAATTCGACAAACGCACGGCCCCAACTCAAGAGATTCTAATATCTCAGAAAAATATTTTTAATATATTTTTCTGAAAACCATTAAGAGATACAAAAGCTACTAGTTAAATTACCATACACTGACAGCTTGTTGTTTACAAATAAATGTGAGTCACAAATTTCTACACGAACCTGAAAGGAAACATCATCTTTCTCATCCAAGTGTCTGCTTTCTCTCACAGCAGCTTCAAGGTCACCATAATATGCTTCCTGATCTGACTTATCCTAGAATGCAAAATTTAATGTACCAGTTTATTTCACTGCTCTTCCAAAAAACCATTTTGAGCTGAAACAAGGGGAAGGTTACATCCTAATGAAAACTTTTTAAAACCTCTGAATCTTCAAATTCGCAGCATACATTCTTCCTCATTAGCCTACTGCACAGCCACTATCGTCACAGCTAAGCACTTGAAAACCAAATATCTTTCATAGGCTATTATTATTATCACTAATCCTACGTCTGAGTACCTTTGAAGTAGAGCAACAGAAAAAATAAA